TGTCTTCATCTCCTACAGGAGAAAAAAGAATTTTTTTTTTTTTTTTTAAGACGTTACGCCCCCCCCTCATTTTTTTTGGAAAAAACCCCCTCTGTTACCTGCCTTTTAAATGTCCCCACCCCCCTGGGGGGGGAGGTATTTCTTGGTTTAATTTTTGTTGCCCCCATCTTTCTTTTTGGTGGGGGGGGCCCCCCCCCCCCCCTCCCCCCCCCCGCCATAGGCCTTGATCACCAGCCAGGCCAAGGGACCCCACCCATGCATGAATTCGTGCACTGGGCCTCTAGTTTAATATAAATGCAAACACTTATTTCATATAAAAGTTATAAGTATACAATATGTGTTATGGGCTGAATTGCGCGTCCCTGTCCCCCCAATTCATGTTAAACTCCTAATCCTCAATACATCAGAATGTGAATAGAGATAAGTTATTTAAAGGAGCAATTAAGTTAAAATTAGGTCCTTAGAGTGGACCTTAATCCAATATGACTGGTATTCTTACAAGAGGAAGAGATTTGGACACACAGAGAGACCAAGAGATGACCATGTGAGGACACAGTGAGAGAACAGCCATTTGCAGTCCAAGGAGAGAGGCCTCAGAAGAAACCAGCACCTTGATCTTGGACTTCTAGCCTCCAGAATTATAAGGAAATAAATATCAACCTTGGTATTTTATTATGGCAGCCCTAGCAAACATGATACAATTGTACTTCAGGAAACCTCATAAACAAAATCAAAAGATATAGTAACCTAGGAAAACGTTGGTTAACATGTAAGATAGACAGAGAAGGGCCTAGAATCAACTATGCTCCACTAATAGTGAGCATATCAAGCACCCAGATCTTGGTCTGAAATACCATCTTCCAATAAAAGAAACTTCGGCCTCTTGGAGAAATAGCTGATTCTAGGAGTGAGGCAGGAAGTACACAGTAGGAGCCTGGTACATCATGTAGTGCCAGAAAGTAACAAATTGCTTAAAAAACAAAACAAAAACAACCCTCACAATTATGGAGCTGTGTCAGAGGGGCATAGGAACCAGCTAAAAATCTCACAATGTTCAAAGCTTTGAGCAACAAAATAAAGTATTACTGGAATAGAAACCAAGTGTAAAATAAACACATGAGTTCATAGTGATACAAATAAATCATTGAATGAATAAATCACGAGGGGAATATAGACAAATCTCCAGTGCAGAAGAATTCCAAATAATTTATGTAGATACTGCACCCTCAAGGTGGAGCATAGCTCCCCACTGAAGTGTGGCCTGTGCATAGTGACTTCCTTCTGAAGAGTACAGCATGGAAGAGGGGGAGGGGGAGTAGCTCTGCTGTGGCAAATCCAACAAGCACTACCTCAGCCTGGTGGTCAAGGTTAACATCAAGAGGGATAAGTCATGTTGATAGCATGTGTCCTTGATATACTACAGTGAAGCAGTGCTTGACCTCTGTGGTCTTCCTCCCCAAAACCCATACCTCAGACTAATCACGAGGAAAACATCAGCCAAATTCCAGTAGAGGGGCCTCCTACAATTAACTTGACCAATACTCCTTTAAGCTGTCAAAGGTCATTTCCCAAGAAAACTCTGAGAAACTGTTACGGCCAAGAAGAGCTAAAGAAAAGGGGGATATATGTAATACTTTCAACAATAAAGATTTTTTTTAAAAAAAAGAATAGCTAAGGAGGCAAGAAACAGTTAATGCAATTCTCAATGGGATCCCTGGACAGAAAAAAAGGATACTAGGTAAAAACTGAAGAAATCTGAGTAAAGTATGAACTTCAGTTAATACATATTAATATTGGTTTTTAATTGTGACCATACTAATCCAAGATGTTAATAATAGGGGAAACTTGGTGCAAGGTATATGGGAACTATGCTCTCTTCCCAGCTTTTCTATAAAACTTAAAACTATTTGAAAATAAATGATTCTTTTTAAAAAATAGTCAAAAACCACAAGTAGACAACAGGATATCACATACCCCAGGCATCAAAAAGCCAGTAAACACTTGGAAGAAATTCATACTTACTGGTGTTCAGAAATGCACATTAAAACATATATGAAATCATTATTTTATTTAGCTGGCAAACTTGTTTTGTGTGATAATTGGCAATGTGTAGGAATGTAAAGTAGAACTACCCCTCTGGAGGGCATTTTATTTTGGTAATAGGTTTAAGTGTGTGTATTTGAAGCAACAACATCACAATCAGAAAGTGAACATCAATATACACAGATGTGTTTTTCACAGTATTATGTGCAATAGCCAAAACCTGGAGATTAACCAAATGTGATCAATGTAGGATTGTTTAAATAAACAATGGGAATCTCAATGTAGAATGTAATGATGAATAATACAGTAGAATATTTAAAGACAAAAAATTCCATGAGGTAACATGTGAAAATGCCTCTTGTAAACCATATATATTCTGTCATGCCATTTCTGTGTCTGTTCTTTCATTATATGTATACTAGAGGCCCAGTGCACGGATTCATGCACATTGAAAGGAAATTAATTAGAAGAAATATTTTAATATCACTATTCGCCCTTTCTCTATATTAGAAGTGTCAACCAAATTCACGATCGACAATGACAGATCGAAACACACGCGTGTAATTGGAACCAGCAAGAGCTTAACCTTTTATATATGTACACACACACACACACACACATATAGAAAAAACTTGCTTAATTAGACCTGCTTTCTGATTTAGCTACTCTAGCCCAGTGAAGCACCCCAACTTCTCTTTCAGGTAATTGTCAGCAACATAGCAGCAAATATCAACATTACTGTAGATCACGATCACACAGGGAGAACGAAGGGTAAAATGTTTAACTGCAGCAGTGTTTGACTATTCTGCGCAGTGAGAAAACCTGAAGTCATTTTCAAGTTCCACCATTTTGTCTTTTCAATCAGGTCAAATTTCTAAACTTTCTAAATCTCCGTTTTCCGGCTAATAAAAAGAAAATAGGATTCTACCGAGTCTCCTATCTACCTACTCCAGGACTTCTGTAAGGATCAAATGAGATGAGGCACGTGAAAATGTTTCACAGACATTTGGTTAAAGTGTAAAATGTTTGTACCTGGCTGTAAAGCAAGTCGTGTTCGTGGGCTGAAGAAACTCCAAGGAGGCTAGTAGGAAGAGGAAGCCGGGCGTTGCTACATGACATCGTTACCCGGCACCCACAGCGACCATTTCCGGGCTGGGCTGTGGGCTGTATTTTGCGCCATGGGGTCTTGGCAGCATTGGCTGCAATTTGGTAAGGTGTTGCTCTGGGGTGGTGGCAGAGCCTGTGTCCCACTTGGGTGAAGCTGGGTGTTGGTTTGTGGGCACCAGGTTCGTGGTGCTGGCAGGTGCGCGCCATGGCAGCTCCTGCGTTGAGCTTCTGCCCCCTGGTGGTCAGTGTGCATCATAGCGATTGGTCGGACAGTTGGAGGGACACAGCACATTAGCCTTTTATATATATAGACTCGTGGCCCGGTGCACAAAATTCGTGCACGGGGGAGGGGTTGTTCCTCAGCCTGGCCTTCACCCTCTCCAATCTGGGACCCCTCGAAGGATGTCCTACTGCCGATTTACAGGGATTGAGCCTAAACCGGCAGTCGGACATCCCTCTCACAATCCTAACCGCTCACCTGCCTGCCTGCCTGCCTGATTGACCCTAACCATTCGGCCTGCTCTCCCCCAACTGCCCCCCGTAACTCGCCTGCTTGTCCCCTAATGCCCCCCCGCCAGCCTGATCACCCCCAACTGCCCCCCGTGCCAGTGTGCTTGCCTCCAACTGCCTCCCCTGCCAGCCTGCTCACCCCCACCTCCCCTCCCCACTGGCCTGCTCGCCACCAACTGCCCCCCTGCTGGCCTGCTCACTCCAAACTGCCCCCCTCGCTGTCCTGTTCACCTCCAACTGATCCCCACTGCCGGCCTGCTCGCCCCCAACTGGCCCCTCTACTGGTCTGCTTACCCCCAATGGCCCTGCCCCCCACCAGCCTGATCACCCACAACTGCCCTCCCCTCTTGGCCTCTAACTGCCTCTACCTCGGCCCCACCACCATGGCTTTGTCCAGAAGAACATCCGGAAGGTCTCCTCGAAGGTCTCCCAGTCTAATTAGCATATTACCCTTTTATTAGTATAGATATGTACACATCTCTTGGATCTGGGATTTGGTGAAATAATCTTAACAGAAGGCATTAAAATAAGTCCTGTTTGTGATTTAGTAATTTTATAAATGCTTAAAGAGTTATTTTAATGCATATCGTAATAAATATATCAAGTATTGTTTCCAAGCACTGTCATTATAATTAGAAGTGAAGGATCGCTTTTTCACTGTTACAAATTGTGTGTGTGTGTGTGTGTGTGTGTGTGTGTTATTTTTAAAGTATACTACACATATAATAGTAGGATTTTGCATACACTAAAGTTCTGTCTATGGTTATCTCTGAATAGTAGGGTTGGGACAACGTTTTCTTTTTTCTTTCTGTTTTCTGCATTTTCCAAATGTTCTTCAAAGAACCACAGAATATTTTTTGTGATAAAAAAATGTTTTAGCCTTGGCCTGTGTGGCTTATTTGGTTGTGCATCATCCCTGGCACCAAAATGTTGCCGGTTTGGTTCCGTCAGGGCACATGCTCAGGTTTTGGGCTTGATGCCTGGTAGGGGGCATACAGGAGGCAGATGATCGATGTTTCTATCTCTCCCTCTCTTTCTAAAAATCAATAAAAGTATTCAAGAAAAGAAAGAAAAAATGGTTTAAATGGCAATTTTTAAAAAATCTTTTTTCCATAAAACTGTATCTGGAAATATTAAAATCATTTTTTTGTTGTTTCTTAAAAGTCCCTATTTATTTTGCATTTCTGAGTAATTTAGTTTATACACAAGTTTGCTTTCATACACATTTACACTGTCATATGTTTTCCATGTACTTTCTACTTTTCTGTTAGTTGATATTTTCATGAGCTGTTGAAAGCATTATTTGATTAGTCTTCTCATACTTTTTACTTGTAGGTTGGTGTTTGGAATGCTGTATCCTGCATATTATTCATACAAAGCTGTGAAATCAAAAAATGTGAAGGAATATGTAAGTATAGTTTTCTGAGTGATTAATTTTATTTTAATGTATCCATTACATACAAGACTAGAAAAACTCATTATTTTAGAAATGGCTGGCATAATGTTTTGGGTTAAAAATGTGATATAAATGTGGAGTACTGAAAACTAGTCTGTTTTTAAACTAATTTTCAGTAGAATTCTAAAGTAGGAAATAAAAAATAGTGCATTGTCAATTGACATTTAAATAAATCTAATTCCCAAATGAATAATTACATGTCTCTTACTCACGTAGTTTGTAAGTTCCAGTATAATTAAGAGGTTGGGGGATTGTCTGGTTTTTTAGCCTTATAAATTTATAGGTATATTACTAGTATATTTCTTCAGCCTCAAAACCTTTTCCCTCTTTCATAGTTGTTCTGTTACTTTCTAATTGATTTAAAAATGCAGATACCTCATCATTACTGACAATTGTAATCAGCAGTTTGCTTGCTATTTGTATGGACTTAACTATTCTGGATATTTTATATTAATGGAATCATATGTGACCTTTTTGTGTCTGGCTTCTTTCACTTAGCCTGTTTTCAAGATTCGTCCACATTATAGCATGCATGTATTAGTATTTTATTCCTTTTATGGCTGAATAATATTCCACAGTATGCATATACAACATTGTTTCTCCATTCATCCGTTGATGGACATCTGGATTATTTTTACCTTTTGTCTATTATGAATAGTGTCACTATTAAGCTCTTACATTTATATAATTCCCTACCAATTTCAAAATTAACACAGTCCTATGGTTCAGAAATCTGAAATGGATCAACAGGGCTACATTCCTCCTGGGGGCTCTAGTGGAAAATCTGTTTACTTACCTTTTCAAGCTTCTACAGGCTGCCCACATTCCTTGGCTTAAGGCTCTATTCCTCCATCTTCAAAGTGAGAAATGTTGGGCTGAGTCCTCACGCTGTGATCTCTCTGGTTCTCTCTTCTGCCTCCCTCTTCCACTTAGGAAGACTCTGGTGATTACAGTGGGCTCACCTGAGTAATCCAAGATCCTCTCCCCAACTCAAGGTCACCTGATTAGCAACCTGAATTCTCCTTTACGTGTAACCTATCATATTCACACATTTCAGGGTGGGATGTGGACCTTTTGAGGGAGGGGGATATTATTCTTCAGACCACAATATCTCACTGGTCCTCACTACAACTCTATAAAGTAGGCAGAAAAATATTCCAATATTATAGACTCAGAGCAGTGAATTAACTTGCTCAGGGTCACATGGATCATTAAAGAAGGAATGGATATCTTCTGTTTGTAATATTTTATTCTTTCTTTTCTACCATGCTACCTTTAGAAAATTAGGTGAGGATCTAGCTTCACAAAAAAAGTGGAAATAGCTTTCACAGCCAGCCAGTGAATGTGCTTCTGATTAATTCCACGGCAGGTCTTCAGGGGCCACAACTATATGGGTATTTTCTAAGAAGAGCAGTGAGGCAGCTTAACCAGTTCTAGAGCAGGACCCATGAGCAACTAAATGAAATAGAATCAAAATGGTAGAAAATGAAATTGGAAGTCTTTGAAAGTTCTGTAAAGTCTTGGCAGTTCTTTAAGTATTTCTAACCTAAATTTATTTCTGACAAAAATTTTCTTGCTGAGTTTCATCTAAACTTAGTTATCCAATGTAACCTTCAATTACAACAGTTTTACCAGCAGTCTGTTCTCAGAAAGTTTTCCTGTATGGTGATCCCCATCCAAATTTGCTTTGTCTGTTCGTTTTTTAGCAAAATTAACCTTCTTAAAATTTCCCTATTTTATTTTTAACAGCCTCTTATACTATCTGTTATGTTATTTATTTGGTTTTGTTTGTCTTCCCCACCATACTTTTGTTAACTGCTATAGTTCCCTACCTAGAATAGTATATGGTAGGCACTCAATATTTTTTGAATGAATGAATAAATAAGGAATAAGAGTTGACTTTTAAGTCTATATCAAACACTAAATTGTGTTTACAGGAGCATGTATACTTCTTAAGTAGATTGGTCTAGTTTCTCAGCTTTGCTGCTGGGGTAAGGAGTATACAATCTAGTCCCACTTATCCCAAAGCCCACTTTCTTTGAGGTATTTGGTTATTAACCTAAATTCCACTGATACCTGCTTCAAAATTATTTTCAGAAAGCAACATTTTTTATTAATTTACTTTTTCCCACCGTAACTACTACCATTCCCTGTAAGCCTTCAAATAGTAGATTGCACCTGATAAAACAGATGGCTGTGTTCAAATCAAAACACATGGAAAGTGCTGTATATTTTGGCAACCTTCCTTTCTTCCTTTGCCTATTTTTAAAAGAGAGCTTTCCTAGGATATAATTTCCTGTATAGTGTGGCTGATATGGCCTACTTAAAGTCTTTCAGTCTTGCAGTAATTGAAATGTAAACTTACTGAAGAATTAGTATGGTTTGCAAATTTTTTCAAGCTTATACCATTTCATGACTTGAAAATAGTGTGTTTACTTCCAAGTGGTGTGTAATTGCTGTAGCTTTTCTAGGAAACCAGTGTTTTTATTCTAAGAATGTTGAAGAAAGTGGCAATGAAAAGATTGTCTAACAGCACATAAAAATCAAAATCAGACATTTGGTCCTGAGATTTACTGTGAGCAAGAACAAAGAACAGGGAAAACTCTGTGAGATTAGTCCTTTCAAAGGCTAAAATGGCCCTCTAAAACTCTGTTGACTTGGGTTTTGAAAGTGACCTAATTTTTGGCTGAGTATTTGGGTGATATGAAAATGAACAAACATACCACATACTGGTTCTTATCAATTGTTAAAATCTGAAGTTGCTTACTAGATTTAGGGTGGAGGAAAAAACACTGAAGAACTTCTCTTTATTGTCAAAAAGTGTTCCTTAGGAATCTTTTCATATTTTGCATTAAAAAAATTCATTTGGTTCAAGGATTGTAATAATGTAGGTAGTGTAAAGATTAACCCACTGATTAAAGTGGAATATAAAATTTTTTTTTTGAAAATTGGTTTTGTCAGGCCACATACTTATCTGTTTATTTTCCATTCTGATATTCTTAGTTTTTATTTTTATTAAGGTTGTATTTCTTTATAATTTTAAAATCAAAGATTTTTCAAGACTTACTATGAAAAACAGCAGTTTCCTACCCTCTCCTCATCTCCAGTGGCAACTACTTTCAACTCTTTTATCTGAATCCTTTAGTGTATGTATTTTCATATCTAATTAACATGCTTATACTTTTGCTATTTTTTAATTTTTCACATGCACATCATCAGTTGCCTTCCTTCTAATAAAGATGACTTAGTAGTTGCTACGTTCTGGTGGGGGCTCTAAGTATTCAATTTATAAACTTTTACTTGGTTCCTATTAGCCCTACTCTACACTGTGCAGGAGATTTGCAAATCCAGAGAACCTTTGATTCACTCTTTCCAGAGACTAAGCCTCAGAATTGGGCTGCGGGAAAGAGGGGTACCATCAGACAGCTAAAATAGGAGGGCAGTTGTGCCACCAGTTCTTGAGCCTTTTTTTGGGAGTTTTGCAGTGAAAGTTAGGATTGCAGTTTTTCCCACTGTTGGCTAATACTCAGTTTTCTCAGGCCTCCTAAGTCACTTCTCATCCATTTCCTTCCTAGCTCCACAAATTTGATGTTCTCTTCTCTTCTATATCCTTCTGAACTTGGGTCTTTTAAAAATATCCGCTTACTGTTGTTTTAATCAGATTTGTGGTGAGGATGCAATTAAATGTGTATATTCAGTCTACCGTCTTCACCCAGACTTCCAAATTGACCTTGTTAGTGGGATACTGTGGTTGAATTATTATGTGATACCAAGTAAGACTTACTTTATCATTAACATTGATTTTAAATGTGTTCACATAAGAGATAGGTTTAATGGTAATTTACATCATTTTTTTATCTTTGACAATAATTTCAAATTTTAATTTTAGCTGACAAACAATGAATACATGTGTATCTTGTCTTGAGTTATAGTTGTTTATAAATCAGGTTTTGATAAAAATCACAATTTTCACTTTGAACAGTAAATGAAATTACTTGGAACAGTTCATTATCCTTTAATGAAGTAAATGTACTTATATTTACCTAAACTAGTGATGAGTATTCTTTGTAAGCTTAATTTTTGATGTGTCAGGTTTACCTATTTTATATGTAATACATATCAGTATGTAACTTAGCTGCTGAAATAATTGATAGTGTTGTTATTATCAAGTGAGATACTCTACCTTATGTTTTCTAAACACACTTTCTTCATGGACATCTCAGGATCATTAGTTACATTGGATCCATTTTAGAAAACAAGTGGTAAACTTGAATAAGGTTGTCGAATTGGAGAGCTTTCAATGAATGCCCAACACAGTTTCTTCTAAAATTTTGGCATGTGAATTAGCATACCCCTTCACCTTTATGAAGTAAACTGAAAGCATCCTCACAACTTTCATGCCAAGATGTAGCTGAACAACTGCAGCTGTCTTGTCCTTTTCTAGCTTCCAGGGCAAGTACCTTGAAAAACAGACATAAAGGAAAAACAATTCTCACGGTAACATTTAAACCTATGAGGCTAAGTCAGGCATTTGCTAATATCTAGGAAAAATTTTACCAACTATCGTGCCAATGGAAATAGATTTTTTAAAAACAGGGACAGAAACCGTTGTTTCCATGAAAGGAAATGTTGTTAAGTAATAAATTGGAGGGAGGCCTAGCCACCTCCACCCTAATCCCTAGTGATGGAACAGCTTAAAATCATAAAAGCTACAGCAACCGAAAAACTCAGCTGCCACCACCCTCCCCGCAGGGAGAACTGTGTGCAGAGGCAGCCAGTGTTCTGCCTCCCCCTAATCTGTTCGGAAATAACCACAAACTCACTACTTTGAAGAAAAACCCCAATAAGTTCCAAAAGGGAGGAATAATAATTGAATACAAGAAAAAATATAAAAATGCAATACTAGATGAATTAAAAAATTAAAATGGCAGTGATACGTTCAGATTCTTGAA